GCTAGAGATCAGGTACAAGCTCCAGGTGACACTTTCGGCATGGACAGCTTCAGCTCCCCCCTCCGACCGCCAGCTTTTTTCGAAGCATCAACTAACCGACGAACCTGCGTACCCGTCGCCTTTGGACCTGAGAGCACTGACCGTGCCATTCCCCCCTCGTGTCCAGACTTTCCACGCTTGGATGCTGCGGGTCGCAGAGGGCCGTCGAGGTTCTGGGGGCCGCCAGGCCAGACCAGTCTTATGGTTTGGCAATGCTGAGGGCCCTTGCGCAGCAAGCGCGAGAGCGGGTTCAGGTTCAATTATCTATCGGGATTGCACCTTGATGCCTTGGAGTCCAAAGATGCTGGCCGTGTTCAGGGCTTCATTTTCGCATCTACCTTGTGAATGTAGCCTTCGAAGCCCGCAAGCAGCTCATGGATGCAGCTGCTGCGTCCACGGTGCCAGGGAACCAAAGCCAGCGACATGCCGATGAGTACACTCTTTTTCATGACGTACTTGAGCTGCAGCGGGACGAGCAGCCGCCCTGGCCTTGGTAGGTGTCTGTGAACCTCGGCCAGCACGCGCCTCAGTCGCGAGATGTCGCGAGGAGCTCCAAGCATGCTGGACCACGCTTTGAAGGGACTACAGACTCCCTGGAGTCCCTGAGGGGTGGAGCCGGGCTCTTGCACACTTACGTAGCCGCAGCCCCCTTTTCTGCGAACCCCAGCTGTTTGACGCGTGCCTGTCTCTCCAGGGATATCTACAGTATGCGGCCATGCCCTTTGAAATCAGTCGATCTGTCTACGGGTCTGTATGTATGCAAGCAGGAAGGTTACATTGTGTGCATGACTGTCCATTTGTTATGCATTTGTCTTCACATCACAATCAAGAAGTGAATACATGGACAAGCGAGTACGCAAGTATACAAATCCATCCGTCCGTCCATCCATCCATGCATACATGCAGAAATGAGGATGCACATACATGCACACATACCTTTTCGCCTGGTCACGGTCTGATCTGGTGCTTCGCTTGCTTCTGACACTCAAATTATAGATGATGACTTTGCTGTGGCGATGCTAGCTTGTCGTCGCAGGAATGGAAATCAACAGTTGCAGCGAGCTCTGAATGTGTGAGCACATCAGTGTCGAATGACCTGGCAAGCTCCTCTGGTCACCTATGCACGTGCGCGGTGTTCAACCACCTTTCGGTAACGAACTGGGTGGTACGACGTCCACAGCTGCATAGCGGCTGTGCGTAAGGCAAGGCCGTTTCTGTAGCTAGGCCGCGAAGCAACAAACACATTCGTACATGCATGCAAACATCTTTCGGAACACGCATCCAACCACAAAGAAGGGTTGTACTTGCGGAAGTAACTTTTCCAAGCCCAAGGTATGGAGCGACCCGAGATGGGCTGGAGCTTCTCCCAACATGGGCCGTATCCTATGATCGTAGGGACCAGAGCGAGGTGTAGCTGGTGTGTTCCAGTGGTGCTATCGGCCCTGCCTGCAGGATCCTGGACTGGAGCTGTATTGCTTGTATGGCTTTTCAGGGGACTGTGTTGGGATGCGGAAGGCGCCGTGAGGCCAGGGAGAACTGTGGTGTAACGCACGTGTGCGTGTAGGAA